AAAAAATCATGAGCAAGGATTCATAGGTAGAAAAGAATGAGTAACTCAAAGAATAATGAGAAGAAGTTCAGAAATGAATTCTAATAAATACAGAAAAATCTGTGGCTCCACCATACAGAAAGAACCTTGGAACCTTAAACACAGAAGTGTAAAATTGATTTTTTAAGCCACTGAGGGCCAGTGACTAATTTTGAGCAAAGTAATATCATCACCAAATGGTGGCTGAGAAAGAATCATTTAGCAGTGGTAATCACAAAAAACAATGTGGAAATAAACATTTCCTGGTGGCTACCATTTGCCAGGCTCCGAACTAGGTGCTTCACGTATCATATTTATCTTCAAAAAAACCCTACAAGGTAGTTATTATCCTCCCCCTTTACAAGTGAGTAAATTATGGTACAGAAGTCCCCAAAACTAAATACTTTCAAATAGGCAACTTAAATGTGTGACAAGGTTTAGTTGAAACAATAGGGGACTATACTCATATATTGCTGAGGAACACGTAATATCCTTCAGACACTGTGGAAAAGTTTGGTGGTTTCTCAAAAAGTTACACATAGAATTCCCAATGTACACTCCTAGGTATATAACACCCCAAATTACAAACAGGTACTCAAGCAAGTACATGTATATGCATGTTCATAGCAATATACTATTTACAACAGTCAAAAGGTGGAAGTAACACAAATTTCCATCAATACAAATGGATAAATAAATGGTGTACAATGGAGACAATGGAATATTATTCAGCCATAAAAAGGAATAAAATACTGACACATGCTACATTGTGGCTGTACCTCCAAAACATTATGCTAAGAAGCTGACACACGAGGCTATACAGTGTGTAAGTCCATTTATATATATCCAGAATAGATAAATCCACAGAAACAGAAGGCAGATTGGTGAATGCCAGGAGCAGGTGTCCAGGAGTGGAGAGAAACTGCTTCATAGGTAAGAGGTTTTACTTTGAAGTGTTGAGAATGTTTTGGAAGTAGAGAGAGGTGGTAGTTATACAGCCCTGTAAATGTATTTAATGCCACTGAATTGTTCACTTTAAACAATTGCAATTAATTTTAAATTAATTTTATGTGAATTTCACCTTAATAAATTACTTTTTTTTAAAAAATAGAGAACTATGGCAAACTAGAAAATACACACGTCTGTCATGTTCCATTTCTTTTTTTTAAACTATGTTTTGTAGAACCAATAAACATCAAACTGCTCACAGTCAAACTGCTCAAGGTAAGTAGTACGAGTAGGCTTAGAACTCTTCCACTATTCGCTACCATCTCTGGAGAAGAGAACTGAAGAGACCATTGGGAAGTTAGGGATTAACCTCTGGCTGGTAACTTTGGCATCTAGACTAAGGAGATGGCAGTGGGAAAGATAATAAAGGGATACATATAAAAAATGTTTCAAAATAAGATCATTCATTCTAGGTGAATAATTGCCTAGTAAGAAGTCAAAGGTAAAAATTTCAAAGTTTTGTATCTTAATAAGTGAGAGAATGGTAAAAGCATTTTTTAAAAGGAAAGGAAGAAAGCAAAGGGTTAATAGGATTGACTCAATATCACAGGGTAAGCCATTAGCTGAGGTTATAACTTAAAGATTGAATCTTACAAATTTATACAATTCTGCAATCTTCTGTGTCCTACTGCCATTCGAAAACGACAAAAAAGCAATCTTAGATAAAACCTTAACTTCACATCACCTCTGAACTAAACATTAAACAACAGACACGAAAGTTGGTTTTAACTGCAATTTAGTAATAGACATGAGAAACGATTCTATCTAAATCTGAAGTTTAGCATAACAAAGTACAAATATATGGTTTAATGTATAAAAATATGGTCGTAACAAATACAATAAAATCTGTGACTTCAAATTCATGTTTGGTATAAACCAAACATGCATGATACCTTACATTTTGCTTAAATATTATTTTTACTCATACATATGTCTTTCAAAATCATACCACTAATAATTGTTGCCAAATGTTCTAAACATATTTTAATTCCAAACCAATAACATTATTAACATTCACTCATAAATCAATGACAATGCAATGGTTACATATTGCATTTTCTGGGACCTATAGTTAGAATAAAGGACTAAGCACAGCAGGATTTCTTTACAGACGAACCTTATCTACCAGACTATAGTAATTATAAAGCTGAAATGAATCCTGTCTCAAGAATCTAACATACAGCCTTAAGTCTTTTCTTGTACTCGATTTTATGGCCCCAAAGTCAAGGATGTTTTCCCTGAGAACTCAAGTAAACTTCAATGTGACAAAATGGGTGCTCCCAGCCCTTCCTGTCCGGGAACCTCACTCTTAGGACTAGGCTGGATTTTAACTGCAAGACTTCCGGAATGAGCTCAAGTTGGTCTTATTCCCCCTTCCTTTATTTTATTTATTTGCTTGCTTTGTAAGTAATACAGTGAACACCTTAAATTCTTCACTGAAGGAAATCTAGAACTTTGATAGTAAGTTCTAGATTTGCTTATATGCTCCTCTCCTATCCATCTATCTACTTCCCCTCTTCAAGGCCACAAGTTCTCATTAAAAGCAATACTGGATGTTTCTCAAAGGGGTATAATATGTTATATCATATTATAACACAATATATTCATAGAATTGGCATCAAAAGGCCAAGTCTGGTTAAAATATTTACTTAATCAGTGGAAACATAAAGTAGCACAGTCCTTTTATAAAACAATTTAGCAAAAATGCATAAAAAGCCAGTCTAAATATTAATACCCTCTAACCTTATAAACTCATTTCTATAGTAATCAATCCCAAGAAACCTATCTAAAATATATAAAACACAATTTGTAACAGGATGTGTACCACAGTGTTACTGATAAGAGGGAAACGCTGGGGACAACACGTTATTAAGTACAGAAGAAAATTATTAAGTAAATAATGCTACATCTAGCTAATGCATTGCTTATCCAGACTAATGTAGGTTTTTTAAATTTGTAAATTGTCATAATATTTTTAATGTTTCTCAAATTCACACAACCTAACTCTTTATCGAAAATAGAATTTAGAAAGTTAAATTAAAATATGTGGGGTGACAGCTGGGACCAATATAAGTAAGTTCAACACTATGAAGTTTGGACCCTAAGATCTGTTTTATAATAGGCTTCAAAATCCTATTAAAAGATAAAGATAACTGTATAAAACTATGAAATGAAATTCTTTATAGTTGTATTAATGGAAACAAATATTTTCTGAACTAAGCACCATAAATATTGTCTTTAAAGCAAAAGTTTGTCCATACTCAAATTATGAACTGGCAGTAATTTTTCAAAGCAAAATGCTACTAAAGAATTAAAGAATCAATGTATATTATGTAAATGATAGAGAATATTAACTAGCTTAATCTTACAGCATATTTGAGTCAAAATATGAAAAACCAGATAGCAAGCAAAATTATAATACTATGTAGAAACTGTAATTTCCACATAAAGATAAAATGAGTAAGATTAATACATAAAATATAAATGACTTAAAATTAAAAAAATTATTTTAATGTTTATTTATTTTTGAGAGGGGAGACAGAGTGAGAGCAGGGGAGGGGCAGAGAGAGAGAGGGACAGACTCCAAAGCAGGCTCCAGGCTCTGAGCTGTCAGCACAGAGCCCCAGGTGGGGCATGAACCCACAAACTGTGAGATCATGACCTGAACCAAAGTCAGCTGCTTAACCAACTGAGTCACCCAGGCTCCCCTCCCTCCATTTTTTTTTTAATGTTTATTTATTTTTGAGAGAGACAGAGTGTGAGCAAGAGAGGGGCAAAGAGAGGGGGAGACACAGAATCCAAAGCAGGCTCCAGGCTCAGAGCTGTCAGCACAGAGCCTGACGTGGGGCTTGAACCCATGAACTGTGAGATTATGACCTGGGCTGAAGTCGGATGCTTAACTGACTGAGCCACCCAGGTGTCCCTGAATGACTTTTAAAGTAATATGGAGAGTTATAAAGACTCACAAATATTATTAAGTTTTATCCTTTTATTATAAGTTACTTCTATTAGTGATTTAAGAAGCTAGTATATCATGTGTTCCCAATCTTTAGACTGTAGACACTCTGGGGCTAATGCAAGAAATCCTTGAATCAATATGCACATATGTATTTTCTCAATCAATGAATACTAAAAATACAACTACTATCATTTGGTAGTCTGAAATTACTTTTATGTTAAAATAGAATTCTCATTTTCCAATTGGAAATTATACACTCTTTACAGATCTTTAAAAAGTAAATAATTATAACAAATATGTACTACTTTGGTTATATCATTCTAATCCTACCTCATGCTTACTCTTGACAACTTGTTTAAGTATGTTACATACATTTTGAAAAGCACGTTAAGATTCAAAATAATATCAGTACTTAGAAAAGATAACATTAATCTTTTACATTTTTTAAGAAGGTAAAATAGTTAATGTCTACATGAATCTGAGGATTATGTATAAAATCAAAGTCAAAGCATTATTGTATCATTGAAAAATAAGACATACAGTATTTTAACACTAGATGGTATCCAGAACAGTTCATCGAGTTAGTCCAATGGAACTGGAGAAATTACTAAATTATACTTATCTTGTTTTCCTCAACAATGAAAACCTTGATCTAAAACTCCCACTTTGTACAAAAGTTAAACCAAAACAGATCATAGTCTTAAATGTAAAAGTATAAAACTTTTAGAAGAAAACACAGGAGGATGTTTTGTGATGTGGGGCTAGGTGAAGAATTCTTAAACATGCCACCAAAAGCACAGTCCACAGAAGACAAAAATCAATAAACTGAACTGCCTCAAAACTGAAACTAAAATTAAAGTCAATTTTATAAGTAAAAATATAAAGAATGACCTTTTAGCATTATACTCTATACAGCAGTCGATACTTCATATAAAATATGGCCATACATATAACCCAGATTTCACAAATTTGTGAGGACATATGAAAACAGGTGTTTTTTTCTTTGACCCACCTGTAAGCACGTCAGTATTTATTTCATACGTTTTCATTTAAATAAAGTTAATCATGAGCACTTACCAGCAGCTTCAAGAACCAGCTGTAGTCTGGCTTTGGCCTGTTCGGCTGGTGGCTAAAAGTCAACCATAAAAGACATTTACAGGTCAGTTTTAATATATGGAGCTTTAAATTAATGTATTACTATGCAAACATCAGAAAATTTAGAAGACCTTATCATAACAGATATTAATATCCATCCAACATCTTAATAAAACTCCATCACAGCAGCTCTACCAATCTACTCTCTCACTGTAGTAATTGAATCACACTTTTCATTAACATGATGGAAGAATGAATTTCTTTCTTTCTTTTTTTTTTTTTTTTTTATAACAAAAAAGGTTTTTTTTATAACCAAAAAAAAAATGGAAAAATATAAAAAAACACCATAAAAAACAAAACAACAAAAGAAAAAATAAATAAAATTTAAAAAAGCAAAAAAACCACTAATTTTTTAAAAAAAATATTAACAAGCTCTTTTTTTTTTTTTTTTTTTTGCATATGGAAACATGCAAAGTGACCTATCGGAATTTAAGTAACAACTTGATATTTCAGGCAAGTCATATCCAAAAACCAAATTTTTTTCTGCTTTCCTATTTGAAAGGGGCAACTGTGATGATGATGTGATTTACAAGCTTTCAATTCCTACCAAATGTCCTCAAGTTGTTTTCTCAATGGACTTTCATTCAACACAGTTGATAATGTTGAAATTAACCTTACTTGCCTACCAGTGACCTTATTTTGAGATTTTCAGATTAATGTGTTGATGGTATCTAAGATAACATGGGTTGTAGCAGGTTATGAGTTATGAATTTTCATGAAGGACCTGTTAAAAACTTTTGTTAAGTTTAGTTATTTATTTTGAGAGAGAGAGAGAGAGAGAAAGAGAGAGAGAGAGAGAGAAAGAGAGAGGATGAGCAGGGGAGGGGCAGAGAGAGAATCCCAAGCAGGCTCTGTGCTGTCAGCATGGAGCCCAATGCGGGGCTGGAACCCACGAACCATGAGATCATGACCTGAGCTGAATCAAGAGTCAAACACTTAATCAAATGAACCATCCAGGCACTCCATAAAACCTTTTTAACACTTGAGACTATACTTCACCATATATTTATAAAGATGTCAGCAAGTGACTAAATATAAATAACCTCATATATATATATGATACCATCATTTGAGAATTAACATTTTATAAGATATATTTTTAAATTTCTCTGTGAAAAAATGGTTTGAATGAAAAGACTTACATAATTGGATATAGAAAGAAGATGTCTAAGAATTGTTAACCATTTGAATGGTGCCTCTGAATAAACTGTAAGAAACAAGATGGAAGAGTAGTAGATAAAACAGGAGGAAAGACAGGTAGAGTCTTTCATATCCTAGAACAAGGGGTAACAAACTATGGCCCTAGACCAGTGACCTGGTTTTTTATAAATAAATTTTACTGGAACACAGACATGCCCATTTGTTTACATACTGTCTATAGGTGCTTTTGTGCTTAGTACACCAATAGCAAAGTCAATTTTTTTGTGACAGAAAACTTCTGGTCAGCAAAGCCTAAAATACTTACTATCTGGACCTTTAAGGAAAAGATTGCAGACCTTACCATAGAAAGAGAGACTTAGGAGAATCTAAAACAGTGGTGTGAGGAGATGACATCTGTACTTCGATAAGTCATTCTAGCAATAACTTGATGATGAATTGAAAGGAAGGTGACTGGGGGTGAGGAGCGCAGTCAGGAAGGAATTAAAGAATGCCAGGTGACAGACGATGAGGGCCTGAGGTGGAGCAGTGGTGGTGAGGCTGGACAGGAAGAACTAGATTTCAGAAATAATTAACTAGTAACATGAAAGGACTGACTGAATAGGAGAGAAGGAGGAGGTGACAAAAACAGTACTTTATGTCATATGTTAGTAGAGAAAATGTACGTATGGGAGCTTTATGAAGTTACAAAATGTTGAAAATATGTAACATCAAGTTAAACTATCATAGCAAAATATCAACAGAATGTGTGATATCTACTGAATATAATCTAAGAGTTATAAACTAAACTGCCGATGGGGGCCAAGCAGTTAATACAAATATTTATGACGATGAGAGGCAAAAGACATTTGGCCTCAGTCATCAGAGAGTTCTGTGAGGGTGCAGAACAGTGGAGCACATGGCCTAGCGAAAGGAAGCGGCTAATAATCAGCACCTACTCACTGCTGTCATACAGAAATGCAACCCAAAGCTACGAAATTTCTTGATTTTTCATGAGACTTTAAGTTCCCATAAAGACCAATACTGTGTGGAACAAAGAATACTTCTAAAAGCCAGGTTCAATCCCAAAACAGTTTGTGACCTCTGCCATCTACTTAATACACATAGTAGAAACGTGACACTCTGTGCAATATAACATAACTAGAATGGCATGAAGGAAATGATATTCTGACTAGCAGGTCCCAAGCAAGCTAAGAATTATGAAGCACACATTTCAGAGTGTCCTAGGAAGCAGTGTCCTTTGATAGAAAAATGTTAGGCACTTTATGGTGAAGATATTTCATGGGGAAGTTTCATGTATTTCACAAGGGAAGATTATTTTTAACAATTAAGAAATATTTAAGACACAGAAAAATACACAGAATGATGAATACCCACATCTAAGAAAAAAATTAATATTGTTGTAGTCTCCTACCATACAAACCCCCCTCCATGGCGGCTCCCTCCCTCCTCCATTTATAACCTCTGTCTTGAAAATATGGTAATTACCATTCCTAAAGAAAGATGATTGATGTTTCTGATAAAAACACCTGTTAAGACATATTTATATTTTCATTAATTTCTCTAACAATCTATAATATAGGATTCATATTCAAAGATAAAGAAAACCAGTTTAGTAACTTGCCTCTACTATACATGACAGATTGAAATTAAGACCTTCTGACTCCAAATTTCAGGATCCTTCTAACTAAATCACTAGGACAGTCATGAAGTCAAAGCAATTAATTCCACAGATATAAAAGCAAAAGAATGAATTTTTAATTCTGTTCAAAAGAAAAATCTGTCCAAAATAATACATTTGTCCCAGCAGATGGAATACGAGGACATTCTAAATACATTTGCCTATACAAATGTAACTTGCAAAATCTTATTTGTGAAATACAGGGATCATCTTCAACTGTGGGGAGAAATACATTGTTGGATTCATCAGACTTTTGAAATTTGTATTTTATAAATATTTTTATTCTTATAAATATTAAATATTAGGTATCGTCATACTAACTGGTTTAGAATGAAAATACCTTTATGGGCTTGGGTTCCAAAATTTCTAGTGCTTTACTTATTTTAGAGTATATTACAGTTCAGGGATTAGTGTGAATTCCATCTAAAATTGTTTTTATTTCGGGGTGCCTGGGTGGCGCAGTCGGTTAAGCGTCCGACTTCAGCCAGGTCACGATCTCGCGGTCCGTGAGTTTGAGCCCCGCGTCGGGCTCTGGGCTGATGGCTCAGAGCCTGGAGCCTGTTTCCGATTCTGTGTCTCCCTCTCTCTCTGCCCCTTGCCCGTTCATGCTCTGTCTCTCTCTGTCCCAAAAATAAATTAAAAAAACGTTGAAAAAAAATAAAATGAAATTGGTTTTATTTTATTGATTTTTTATTCAGATTTTATTCAGAACCAGAAATCAAATCTTACTCAATAAGCAATAATATAACACCAAATAGAAATGCATGTAATATAGCAATTCTGCAATATAAGAATTGTAAATGAGGGCATAATTAAGAACACAGTTTCACAATTATATTGTGTGAAACAAACTTTTGGATAAAAAATTGTATTCCATTAAAAAATAGTATTCCATTAAAAATAATATTCCTCACATCAAATTTAGTAGTGCGTAATTAGATAAACAAATATTACCAAAACTGAATTATGGAGAATATAACTGTTGTCCCCTCAAAAAATTTTAGCATTAACATTAACAGAACAGTAAGAACAGTATGAACTTATGCTTCTTTTTTAAAGGTATATTAAAGTTAAAACATTATTATGGTATTATATCACAAAAAATAAATTAGTAGGTATTGTACCATAATTTTAGCTTACTTAAAGAAAACTGTACTTCTGCTAGAAATTCTTATATAGGGCTTAAAATTCTAAATTAGTAGTGGTCTTTTGGATGCCTAGGTGGCTCAGTTGGTTGAATGTCCAACTTCAGCTCACAGTGCATGAATTCAAGTCCCACATGGGCTCACTGCTGTCAGCGTGGAGCCTGCTTTGAATCCTCTGTCCCCCTCTCTGTCTCATGCTCTCTCTCAAAAATAAACAAAAACATTTAAAAAAAAATAGTGGTCTTTCAGTGGGGGAGAAGGGTTTGGTAGTCTTTCTGTTGCCATGAATTCTCCAGAACTACTCTGCTCACTTCCCTCCCCTTGATAGCCACATATACTTACTTACTCCATTTAGTTACTACTCCTAGTTTTATAGAAGACTACTTTCTTAAGATGAAACAAATGCTCCTGAAACTGAAAGCTAAGTCAGTCACTTGATGGCTGTGGAGGTGACTATCTTCAATGTCTAGACTTTTTCCCTTGACTTTGGACTTACTCGTATTTAGTCCAATCCCCTGAGTTCCTTAAAGACACCATGTCTAGAATCTCAAGATAGTGCCAAAACTAGCATTCCAAACCAGCACAATCTTTTGAGCCATGAATATACATATATATAAAACAAGAAGCAGAGAAGCAAGCCTATCCTTACATAAACCAGTTTATACACTAAACTATTTAAACTCTTTGTTCACCCTTCACATTTCCATTCATATTCAGCTCACTGAACCCCTGGCCACCACTATGGAAATTCTGGGGGCTGATGAAGCAAAGGGCCATTCCAGCTGCCAACAACACTTTTGGGTGCTGTTAAGAACAGGGAAGTAAAAAGTCTGAAAGAAACACTGTGGCTGAACTAAGAGAGAACTCAAACTTGGAAAATAAATTAAACTAGCAACATTATGCAAAATCAAAATTAAGGCTGGATTATACGGTTTTCAGCTATCTCTCTCATTTTAAATCATCATATGCTCTTTTTATATAAAAAATAAC